TCCATTGTAAATATTTTAGTCCTGCTCTTACGAAGGACTGTATATTTTGGGTTAATTTCTCAATATATCATAGTTCTAAATACGTTTGCAGTGGCCGTCATCTTACATGTCGAAGCATTGCTTCATTATAGTTTGATTTTACTAGGGGGCATAGGCGGGTTGATTTAAATTTTGAACCAAATTATACAGCGAGCCGTTTACTTCAAGACCAACGCCTGCTCGCCACCACATCTCTGCTGAATAGATGCTTGTAGCATTCAGACTTCAGATAATTCTTAAATCGAATTTGAGTGAGTGACTCAATGGAAGCTACCTCTTTTAGTCGTGACTTAAAGCCACTTACGGGTTGGTTAACGCCTCTTCTATAAGGATTGACGAAATTACTCGCCTTGCAGACAGTTTGTGCATCAATTTATGCACCGAGCTCGCCACTACAGTTCGTTATTAGAAAAAGCAACACTCCCAGATCTTGTTCAGTGTATTCAAAGGAAAAAAATATAGTAGCTGAAAGTGGGCTCGAACAGTGATCAACATCAATTCTACAGCGCTCGCAGGAATTAAACATTTCGCCAATGCAGGATTTTATATTAATACCTGAGTATGAAGGCTTATAAAGTCTAATTTGATCCAAGAACTGAAGTCTCATGACCATCCGATTTGATTTCGCTTCGCTCATTGGCTAAAGATACCCAAATTTTTTTTTTTTTCGAAAAAAGGTCATTATAAGAAAAACTGCGCAACTGTGGCTCAGAAAACCCACAAGTAATCATAGAGGTCAATTAATGCTCAAAACGAGTCCATTTTTGGTATGGCAGCTCCACTCATGGCGCCATTGGTCCGCTTCGTTTCAAACGCGCTGAAAGAACTGCCATTAACGTCAATGCCAAAACTATTTGTTCCCAATTCTTGAAAAGAATGACGGAGACGATCTGTGGTTTCAACATGGCAACGCTATATGCCACATAACTAGCGGTGCAATAGATCCTTTGCGCTCGGTATTTGAAAAAATATAATTAGCGATGTCAACAGACAGTCTCAGAGCTGCGCTTTGACTCGGTTGGGCTACATTTTGTGAAAAGCCGTTGAGGTTAAGTGCTACGCTAGCCATAAATACACGATTGCTGACTTAAAATACGTAATAGCAGCCGACTGCGCAGGCACAGAAGCCCACACAAGCTAAAATGTGCTGAAAATTGCATCGACAGATAGCACAGAATGGTCTACAGCAAGGCCAGCCGCAGCAGGCATTTGAATGAATTGGTATTCTATAACCAACCGGAATTTTCAGGCATTTTAGCAAAAGGAAAATCATTGACAAATATTTATTCGTCGGTGCTGAGACCGATTTCAGGGTATCTTCTGCAAGAAATTTATTTAGATAACATAATTTTTAATTCGGCAACTCACACCCCTATACATACATACATAGATATATTCTACTTAAACATTTAAATTTGATTGTGCCGTAATATTTTATTAAGAAGGAGATTACCAAAAAACAGAAAACTTTATTCTTCCTTCACGCAATACCTTTGATATGCAGATGAGCTTTTGGCTCGAGAAAAAAGTATTTGAAAAAGTCAAAAGCAAAAATCTCAGTGCAATAAAAGATTAAAGTTATTCTTGTATGCTTTAGCTTTGTATGTGTGTGATTTCTTATCAAAGTTTAGTATTAAATATACATTTTACTTTGCTCTTCTATTTTTTATTTTTTGGACAAATATGGCACCGCCTGTTGAGCGATTGTCAACTTTGCATTACAAGTAGATGCGTGCCATTATATTTAAAATAGAAATGTGTACATATGTACGAGTATATATACATGTTTACATACATACATGTTTGTATATTATTTCGTGCAAAGCACAAGCTACAAGTTGCTAATATTTTGCAAAGATTTATTTTCGTATTCTTTGTAACATTTAATACAAACATCTAAATCTAAATCTTCATGGTACGTACGAGGGGATCGGATAAAAGTTCGGTCAGTTGGTGACGTTCAATTTGTTTTTGTTAAATCTTAAAATACCTTATCCTTGATAATTTCTGTAACAGTCTTCCTTTCAAATTTTAGAACGATTGACTGAAATGGAGACGAGAAAACGCAAGATAGCCGAAAATAGGCCAGAAGAAATTCCACCACCAACGCAAACAGAAATTCACCTTGTGATTCTCTTCGGGTTTCGTCTTAATTTACAGCCAATACAAATATTCAGTGAATGCCAAATTACATATGAAGCAATTGCACCGTCTCTAAAGACTATTTCTAAGTGGTTCTGAAGACTCCAGACCTGACACTTCCCCGTAGAGGACAAACCCTGCGGTGATGTCCAAAATTGACGAAGATCCACGATTGACACAAGAAATCATTGCTAATGAATTGAACTTAAATGCCATGGATGCATCGTGAATATTAAGTAATCAACTGGGATACACGAAGAAATCTGCTCGATGGGCACTACGAATTTTAAATGAAGCTCAAAACGAGGCTTAATTTTTCCTAAACAAATTCGTAAATGGCGAGTCTAACATCTTTCGGTTAAGTCATTACTGTTGATGAATCTTGGTTCTATAAGTACGATCCAGAAACCAAACGGCAATCCATCCATATCAAGAGCAAACTCACCCGTAAAATCTAAGCAACAAAAATCAGCAGCACAAGTAATGATCACAGTTTACTTCCACCGATCTTAAATCGTAGCTGCTTTCCACTGGAAAAGGGTAAGACGGTTACTACAAAATGGTACACCGAAGAGTGCTTACCAAAAGTTTTGTTGGAAAACAGGAAGAAAAAGGATTTGCGGCGCTACTTTTTATACCCTGACAACGCGCCATCCCACACTGCTGAAGTAACGAGTGGTTTTATTGCGATCTCTGGGATCGGAGAAATATATCCAGCACCGTATTCCACGGATAAAGCACCAAGTGATTTCTGGTTATTTCCAAAAATTAAAAAAAAAAAAAATAAAAGAAAAGGTCTCTAACAGAGAGATAATTAATGCGGTTAATGCTGAGCTTGATAAGATTGAAGAGCAAGTCTACAGGCTTAAGAAATCCATTGAAATCAATGGCGATTGTGTAGAGGAGATGGTAAAGAAAAATATTACGAATAAATACAAAAATAATTTTAATTTTATTTTTTTCAACTCCACTTACCGAACTTTTGTCAATCCATTCGTATATACATACATATGTACACGTAGGTATGTTTGCATCATACAACTTTTGTGGAAACTTACTTTTCGTCCTTCTAATTTGCATAGTTTATGCACAGCTGTCGTGGCGACAAGCGTTTATTCCTTTGCCTTTTGCTTTAGCCTCCCTCTTCCTCCTCTCGCTTCGCATATAAATGTTGAATGCTGTTTTTACAAGTGTAGAGGTTGTTCCAAAATGGGAAAAATAATACCAAATGACTTTAACTTTTCTTTAACTCCGCGTAGAGTAAAGTGCTTTTTAATGCCAAATCATCATAAAAATGTTATATGTAATGTAATAAACTGATAATGCATTTAATGTTAAAACTAAGTCTGTAAAATATTAAAAAAAAAATTCTGGTAGGGAAAGGTACAGTAAAGATATGCAATGTAATATTTCCTCTATTTCTTCTTCACTGACGTGGGGACCACGATACCGTGATATGGTCACCCCATTATATGTCGGCATCGTGTGCGCCTCCACACCACATAGCATGACAAAAATGATGAGACACTTGTAGAGTTTAGTTTTCGATCGTCGAAGCTTGCCTTTTATATACCGGGATTCCGAAAGCCTAGTGTTGCAATCTGGCAACATACTCAGAGCTATTTGGCGTAACCTAAAATATTCATTTTGGCAAAAGAAACAAGAATCAGTGTGTATCGATGGTGTGGTGAATACGATCTAGGCTGTGGATCACTACAAGACGAATTTCGTGAAGGTCGACCAAAGTCGATTGTTGTTGTGAAAACTATAGGCATTAGTGGGATTAGCTTGCATCCAAATATTGTAAATAAAATTGGATCAGGTTGGATCTCAAACAGTTTGTTAATTGCTCATATAAGCGTTGTCTCGATTGATCGAGCGAAGTCGAATTCAATTAAAGTTGTTCGCACACGAAGCACTTCCAAGCAAACTGTTGCTTGCTTTTTTTGGCAGAACTGGACCAACTATGGCAACCATACCACTAAAATAACTCTCAACAAAAAACCATTTGTTAGCCAATGGTCTTTCAAAAAATGAGGAAATAAACATCCGAAAACGGATCACTCTTCACCATGACAATGCGAGCTCCTCACACATCGAGTGAAACAACGTACGTTAATAATAAACTGAGAGGAGTTTATTTTTTGCAGAGGCTGGGACATATCTCTGAGTTGATATTAGGTCCTCGGAGTAGAGAACATCTAAAGCGCGGGAGACCTGTCTTTTATCTATCATAACATTTTCGATGCGGAGTTAGCTACCTAGCTTAAAGTATTGCCTTATGCCACAGTCAAACCTTTATACGAGCTCCGTTGGAGGTGATCAGCTTCGGGTCGTCTGAGGATGTATTGCCAAGGTAGATGAATTTTGCGTTGAACAGGCGTTGAAATTAAAACGAAAGCATCTAACAGATTAAACAAGGACCTAACTTATTGCTTCAGACCCCAGGTTCATGCCCTTAAAACAATTATTCGAGTTGTCATTTACATTTTTGTATTTTTTCAAAGGGGCAGCTTTTTATATGCTACATCCAAGAACCCTACGCACAACCACAGGGGATTCATCTTCTTAATTTAGAACGCCTTTAAACGAAAGAAGCTGGGTATGAGACTGGAAGTGGATCTTGATCTCCCGGAACGACTCATACTTTCATCTAGATCAAGGACTAACTTTTGGAAATTCTTCAAAAAATTTATCTTTAGGAAGATTTTAGGCAAGAATAACTAGAGTTTAAACACTCGAACAGATTTCTGCGCTCTTTGCTCAAACTGCCGAACGTTAAACGTTGTCAACCGGAGCCAAATAAGTTTCCACTTACATGAGATGTTAGTCATACCACAATCTCCTATTCAATTTTATTTCGCAACATTTTTACTTAAACTTAATTCAGAATATCGAAGAATTCACCGAATTTATCCAGTTTCTTATCATCGTCAGTTTCAGTCTTATATTCATCAAACCACTTTAGCAATTTGCTCTCGCTTTCTTTTTCAGCTGGGCTCAAAGCCTGCACGTATTCACCAAATGCTTTGTCAAATTTGCCAGCAAAATCGACCATTTTATTTTCAAATTCTTTGTCGAATTTGTTAAAACCATTACTTTCCAAAGCTGTCTTCAGCGTAAGCTTCAATTTAGAATCTTCCGGCATGGACTGGTAATCGCCCAACATGTTGGCGAAATTCATCATGCTTGTGAAAAGTTTCAATAAACTATCCGGATCCTCCTCGCTCAGTGAGAGATCAGAGATTTCCTTAACAACCGTGGCCATGCGAGTAATATTTGCTTGTAGTAGCTCATCCTTAACTGGCAGTTCGTTTAATTCGTTGATAGTATTCTTAATTACAACGACACCATTATCAAGCGCCCACTTCGAAAGTCTAGTTATCTCGGTAAGAGTGTAAACCAAAAGTATCATCTTTGGGCTGTTATCTTCGGATGAGTCGGCAGTAGCGACGGCTTCACGCTTATTATGTGGCAAAGTGTGCACGAGCTGTGGGCGTAAAGGAAATGAACAATTTATATACAATAATACTTATATAAGGTTGGTGCCTTGAAAACGCTGAAGCCATTTTCGGCTGAGAGATTTTTGGATTTTTATTGGGGGTTTCTATTTCATATTGAAAATAAAATCGGACTCGGCTTGATATTACTTGCGGAGGGACGAACGCAATCAGAAAAATTTTGTATGTTGATCGGACCAGGATTCGAGTCCGGACTTTCGAATGCCAGTAGCATTCGGCTATTACAGCATATATATTTACATATTTAAATAAAAAAATGGAAAACACAAAAAGTTTGATTTATACGAGTATGTATACCTGCACTAGCAGCAAGGCAGCGGTGACAATAATTAAAGCTTGCTTCATACTGCTCTTTCGGCTGATGTCTTGTGTGTTGTTGAATGCGTTTGAATCGCTGCTAAATGGCGGACTGATTTTCAAATAAAATGTATTGGCAATTTATATAAATTTTTTTATAATATATTTTGTTTACAATTTTATATCAAATATTTTTTTTTTATTCAAAAACATAAATATAATTTTATTACTTATATTTTGGGTCGTTTGGCACAGAGGTGAAATAAATATAAAATAATTTATAAACATATGTACACGCAATAAATTTAATCACCCACAAGGTGCTTCTAATCTCTTAACCTTGCCTCTACGTGTATGTATGAAGAATGTCCACATATAGACCATAATCGCAAATTGTTCTGAAATTATATTGGCTTTTTAATTGATTATTTTTAATTGAAAGAAAAGCAAAAAATATACATCTGTTGCTTGAAATGCACGAACACACATATTATATATGTTTATATATATTTAAGCCCCTATCTACGATTGCCAATTATCTGATTTTGCGTCAGCTTTATACTAGTTAAAAACTGGTTGATTTATGCATGTTGAATTTCTACTTTGCACAAATAATAAAATATCCAACAACAAGATTTGGGCTAACGTTGGCTCGGCTAACGTGCTGATATGAAAAAATAACGATAAAATTCGATCCACCACAGAGCGTAACAGAAAACAATACTCACCTCACCGCCATTGCTGGTGATTCGCGAGCAGAAAGCGAATATATTTGATTTCATCTTTAAAATACTAGTTTCCAGTTAAAACTTTTATAAAACAAATCGTTGTTCGTGTGAAAAGTTATTTTGATTTAGGAATTAGTGAAATTTCCGAAAATATTTTAAATAAATGGTTTTTATTTTACTATTGTATAAAACTCTTAAGACAGGCAAGTTAACTCCACTTATCATATTATTCCCCTTAGCAGAGATCAAGAGAGAGATTTATATACATTTCGAGTAAATATCCCAGAACAGATGGAAGCAGAGGCACTATACATCATTCACCTGGTATTTAGAAACAGCGAAACGCTTTTGAAGCTTTGCAACGGGTAATGAAAAATGGAATGTTTTCATTCGTCAGGAGAGGACTTTACTTTTCAATTACCTACTCACTCCAAACTAGCACCTGTTGGCAGAAGTGACTCTACGCTGGATTTCCAAGCTGACATTGCTCTTGGTGTTGATGCTGGTTTCTACACAGACGAAATTATCTACGATTTCAAAGTTATGACTGTCAGCAGTGGCGTGGGAGACGAGTCGTGTATGCGATGGCTGTTTGTGTGATGACAGGAGATAGTTCGTCTTGCCCTCGTTCACCAGCAGACTCATATATCTGACTTCCTTATCCAGACTGGAGAAAGCAGAGCTCACGGTGCGGTGATTAATAGATACTTCAGTTTAACTTACAATAAATATTTATATAGAAGTAAAAACCTTACTTACGATTTCCTGAAAATTATTTAAAAAAATCATACCCAAAATCTAATTGGCTTCACATAATATATCTACCTGATCACATCTTTGCTTAGGCCGGGTGTAAAACAATATAAAGTCATATAAAGCGTTTTAGCCATTTAACCTAATTTTAACAAAACATTTTATACGCTTCACTTAGTATTACACATATAGAGAAACCCCATTAAAAATACAATATATGCCTAGGTTGATAGGTTTGTATTGAGTAACTCAAAGCTCAAAGCAGATAAGTGTCGCTAATATATACTCGTACTGTATGCTGGTGTTGGTCGGAGTGATATTTCCAGGCAAACCACTTTGTCAATTTCAAATCTTATCAGCCTAAACACTTTGTCTGTTCTATTTGCAAACAAAGCTTTTAGTCCACATACACTATGTATAAGTATATATAATATTTCTGTACTGACTCAGGAGAATTAAGGAACAAGATAAGAGAACTTGGGTGAAAGAGTGTGTGGGAGCTAAGTTGGGTTTACAAATATGTATTACAAAAGATAATGTATAATCTCTTTTGTGATACAAAATGGAAGTTTCTCTAAAACTCTCTTTTTTACCTGGCAATTTTTCCTTGATCCTGCACGACAAGATCGCTTAACTGATTTCCCAGTCATGGATTTGTATTATATTTTTTGTATCGTATTTTTCTATGTTCTCTTAGAGACCATTTCTCGGCTAAAGAACAACAAAGTGGCTGGAGTCGTTGGCCTATCGGCTGAGCTATTTATACATGGCTGTGAACAGCAGACAAGGTGCATGTAGAGGCTTCTTTGCATGCTCTGTGCTCTGCCCAAGCCATAAAAAAGGAGATTTTACGAGGAATAAGCCTCTTTAATATCGCACATACGATAAATGAACACTGGATGCACCAGAAACGCAGTTAGGCCTTAACAACGGCGTCTTTAGTTCCTTTTCAAAGTGAATTGGGCTGGGAGTGAACGGGGACAAGACGAAATATCTGCTGTTATCAATCAGTCGGCGCACTTACTACTTGGCTGTTGGCAGACATTACTTTGAGATCGGATTCACACCATTAATAATGTTACCGAATTGTGGTCTGTTTTCTCTACCCTGCAGTTTGATATTCCTCATATATATCGAGAAACTGATGAGAGCTCTGAGAAAGTAGGTTGGCAGCTGGGTAGAAAACTGTTCGGCTGTTTTTCGAATCTGCCTTGCGTTGATTGATTTACAGAGGGGGGTGGGTATCTTCTTTGGAAAGTGATAGTGATCAGTTCCGCCGACAGCTACGTAGTTTGCCGTTCGGTCCATATATAGCAGTTCACTCAAGTGAGGAAATATTTTTACTGAAACTCATCTAGGATTGGCCAGAAACAATTCTTTTTGCAAATCCACACCATCACCCATCATTCATTATTGGATAATATTCGATCGAATCGACCACGTCCACCTAAAAAAGGGTCCCCAGACTCTGTGCCAAATACCGTGGGATAAGCCTCCTTAATATCGTCTATACGGTCCAGTCTAGCGTGTTGTATGAAAGACTAAAGCTCACCGTCAACAAGCCTTGAAATTTATCTATGTGGCTTTAGACCAGGCAAATCAATCATTGACTAATTATTTTCCATGCACCAAATCTTGGAAAAGACCGGTGAAAAGAGGATCGACATCCACCACATTTTCATAGATTTTAAAGCCGCCTTCGACAGCACGAATAAGAGCTGCCTTTACGCCGCTATGTCTGACTTTGGTATATCCGTCAGGATCAAGAAGGATCTCTCCGAGCCGTTCTATACCATACGAGGTCTCAAATAGGGTTATTTCTAATCATGCGACTTCCTTAATTTATTGCTGGACAAAATAATATGAGCTGCGGAGCTGAATAGAAAAGTTAAAATCTTCTAGCACTTCTTTGTTTCGGATGCCTACGTCATACACAGAACAAGTTTTATATATACGAGTATATACGTATATTTTAGGTCCCTACAGTACATAATTATTATTCGAGTATAATATGCAAGAAAGTGTTGACCTTATTATTTAATTAAGAATTCAACTTTATTTTCATTTCCACAGGTCTTTGTTTAACATTTTTAAGCAAACAATTCACCGAATTTCTCCAATTTCTTCTCATTATCACTTTCGGCTTGGAAATCCTCATGCCATTGCAGAAGTTTGCTGTCCCTCAACTTTTCTTCCGGTGTCAAAGCTTTCACATAAGCAGCAAATGCATTATCGAAATTGTTGAGCAAAATCAGAACTTTTTGCTCGTACTCACGTTCGAAGTTAACATAACCATTATTATCCAAAGCTGTCTTCAAAGTGTAACGTAATTTCGATTCAGCGGGCATATTTTCATAATCCTCCATCATTGCAGAGAAATCATACATATATTGGAAAAGTTTACCAATACTCTTCTCATCCTCTACCAGTTTGAATTCGGATGCTTCTGTGCCGATTTTCGACATGCGTGTGATATTCGCCTGCAATAGCTCATCCTTGACGGTTATCTCATTCAGGTCCTTAACAGCGTTATTCACCACTATGCTACCCTTTTCGAGGAGCCATTTGGAAAGTTTCGCTATTTCACCCACAGTGGTAATCATCAATTGCACTTGTGGCTGATTTTCCTTTGATATCAACTGTGTAGGACTACCAACTTTGGTGGATTCACGCTTCATATGCGGCGAACCGTGGGCGAGCTGTTGGGTAAAAATTTTATTTAATGTAGAGAATATTCTCGGTATAACCGAATGAACTCACTTGCACCAACAGCAAAGCGCTAGCGATCAGCATAAAGAATTGCTTCATTTTTAGCTAAAGGAGCTCAATCGAAATGGAATATAGTAAATGAATGAAACTTGATTTCAAACTGATTTTTAAGCGAAATGCAGCGATCTTTTATGTGATTTCTTTTCAAGGTAAAATTCTTCAAATGTTATAAAAAGCCTATAATTGCTATCTGCAGGTTACTAAAGATTGGTGGAGTATGTTGAACTTTTTATTTATTTTATTAATAGAATTATTTGCTCATTTACCTGTCTTCTGATTGCATTCAAAATATATATGTATGAACTGAAAAAGTCTAAGAAAATATATTTAAATGCATATTTTATATTGATAAGTGCGCCTAATTGCCTACGTGCCGGAATAGTGTGGGTTTTTATGTACATACGTGTACATAGGCCTAATAATTTGTGTAGATAATACAAAAACAATTGATTGATATAAATAAAATACATATATAGACTTTTTAAAGTACTTGACGTTAAGAAAGATTTATATAAAAATGTTTGTATGAGTGTAGAGTCGAATAATCAGTATAATAATTGGCGTTGGAGATGGTGATTTTCTTCTCAAAGCATATTTGTCGCATGCGATATTTTTTTAGTGGGAATGATGTGGGCGACAGTTTTTCGTTAGTTATTTTGTATTATTTCAATATTTTTAATAAACTTAATGGGAGTACACATTAAATCGATCCGATTTTTTGTTTTCGAAAACGAGTTTTTATTGAAAAAAGTAAATATACAAATGTACATCATTCAAAGCATTGTCCGTTGGAAGAGAATACATTTTATTTTCCTATCTGTCAGGTAAATTTCGATTACCATCTTTACAAAATAAGTCCTTGATCCATTTCTTGAGGCAAACCGGTGACTCCCCAAATCGTTTTGAATTCATCGAAAGGGCTATTAGTCGAAAGCTGCATGATCTAGAGAATACGGCGGATGTGGCGAAACCTTCAATTTCAGCCTTTCCAAATAGCTTTTGACCACTACGCCCGAACACAGAGTGTCGTCATGTTGGAAAATTTAGTTGTCTTGCTTTTCAGTTATTTCTAGCCGCTTTTCAAACAATGCATTGCTCAGACGTTCGTATCATTGTAGTCGATAGTGTTTCGCATCAACGGTTTCGCCTGGTTTTAGCATCTCATAGTATACTACAACCCTCTAATCCAAACGGGCAGCTCATTGTGTTTAACGCTAAAATTCCTACTTAGGAAACTTAGTAACCACTCTCTGCATGAGTTATCGTTCGGCGGATTCACCATAAATTTCCAAGCACATTCGAAGGGGCTTAGGTGAAAATTCCTTCTAATTAAAACAGGAAATGGAAAGGTGCATTTAAACAAATCAAGCTGAGCTGAGTTCGCATAACCAGGCGATGCGTTGAATTGTTTATAAATCTTAAAAAATTATTTTTGGCCAAGCAATTTGTTGAAATGATTTCATTTACCTTTATTTTATTTAGTCATAAAAAAAATAGATTTTAAATATATGCTAGTTCCAAATACATATATAATATATTTAAATGCTTTCCAGCATTTTTTAAATTATTTTCCGCAGTTTTAATCCAGTAAATTAAAGATTTGAATAAAATTTTCACCCTTCTTCTCTTCTTGACTTTCAGTCGTAAAGTCCTCAACCAAACAATTAATTTCAGTTTCCTTAGCCTATTAATTGGAGACAATGTTTTGAGGTATTTTGCAATGTCGAAATCCTTAATCAAGGTCAAAATTTTGTCTTCCAATTGGTTTTTGAGTCTAACAGAACCGTTATTTTTCAGTGCTATCTGTAGTGTTTGCCTCAGTTTTGAATTTTCGGGCATTCTTTTAAAACCTGCCATCATATCTGTAAAGTTACCCATAAGCATCAGAAGCTACATAACACTTTCTTCATCGTCTTCTAGTTCGAAGCCCGCAGCTTCTTTGCCGATTTGGGAATTGCCTTTAGGTCCTTCACGGCATTATTGACAACCAAACTACCCTTATCGAGACAGAATTTGACAAACTTAGAAACTTCGGCGAGAACATAAATGCCAAGTTGTTGTTTCCCATCGATTTCTTCAGTTGAGTCGCCGTTGCTTGCAAAAGCTGCGCGTTTCACAAGGGGCAAGCTGTGTGCTAGCTTTTGAAGATACACAAATTATTTGATTAATCTTTATTACAATAGAAGAAAAATGAAAATCAACAAACTTACTTGCAGTAAGAGCACGACACCAGCAAAACAATTAATAATTTCTTCATTTTCAACTAAAATTGCTCGAGGAAAGGCTCAAATTGCACTGAATGGCTTTGCATTGCAATTGCTTGTATGAGCTTAGAAAAAGCTTTCAAATTATAAAAAAAATAATTACTATTTACATAGAAATGTGGGTATGTATGTGCTTCTGTAGATTATAAAATCAGTTTTGTAAAATGTATGGAGATAAGACAATGTTCGATTCCCATCGCAAAGCTCTGAAAAGAAATAGTTTTTTAGTGATAAGGTAAAGATAACGTTATTCCCAAATTTTTAAGATTCCGACTAATTTAAATTTTAAAAATTCAATGTTCAGTTGCTTTAACGAATTTATGTGCTCGCAGCTATTGATTCTTATTCCCGAGAGAAATTTTGGGAAAATTTTCAAATAAATCGATCAATACAATAGCAACGCAGTAGTTAAAGAACATTTCATCTATTTTTGCCAAGAATTCCATTAAAAAGTTATAGTAATCTTTAAAGCGGTTGGCATTTCTTCCATTTCCAGCCTAATACCTCTGATCGTAAAGACTTGAAATGATGATGCCGTGTTATAAAAAAAGATTTTCCGAAACTTTACCGCTAAGGGTGTATCGGCTGCAATAGCCGAGTGCGTGTTAGTATGCAATACCACTTGGTGGGTAAGTTTTCCGACGGCATATTTGAATATCTCATTCGGTAAGTGATCGGTTCTCGCCACATTTTTTGTATGTCGGGCGGTCAAATCTTTAAAATCGGGCACTTGTTTCATCGTCATCAATTGGTGAATTGAACTCGCCGACTGCGGTATTTAATTTTCTTAATTTTCACTGCCATTCAGCAGGCTAGAGAAGTATTCTTCCATAGACCAAATATGCTTTGGACATTGGTCACGAAATTATCACCTTAGGTCCTCCATGAGTATGCTTTGGTTTTGAAAACTTTTTTTGAGTTGCTTCATCTAATAAAAGAATTGTCGAACAATACCATTGTGGTCCAGCTTCTGAAGCTAAAGTTCACACTCACACATTTCGTCCTCTGTTTCTTCCTCTGGAACTGCTTCTGGTGTTTCTCCCATACTGTGCGGTCGATTGCAACGTTACAAGACAGTCAGCTTTAGCAGCTTTTCGTTGATCTTGCCGAAAACGAATAGTTTTGCCAGCAGCTGTACATACGTTTGAAATGCTATGACACAGAAGGCATGTTAGCCGCTTATCTCCATAGAATCTACTTGGCTACGAGTGCTTCGAACAAGACAACCATGTAGCTTGATAAATTGTTTCTGCTGGAATCTGCTACGATTTATGTAATTGGCAATTCTGCCATGCTTCTCCTTCAATTTGCGATGTGGGTCTTGAAGTTTTTCCAGTAAATGGACCTCCCCACAGTTTAAACTAAACAGCCTTCAAACGGCATACCCTGCCTTAATTTTTTGTATTTAAATTAGTTTTTTATGTATTTTGAATGTTCAATGGATCAGGACTCGAGCTCTAGCCTTCCGAATGGCAGTACACATTATTAATCACTCGGTTTTCGCGGGCGATACGATTAACAATCAAATTTTGGACCTCAGCTACTTGAGTACACTCAGCTTGTGTGAAGAAGTTTCGGCAGGGATGTTGAATTTTTCAAACTTCTATTTCCCGACTGTAATAGATTTTCATGCCAAGCACAGTTTATATATCGTAGTGAGGGCAACGCTTATAGGCACTACTTCTTGTATTAATTGGTGCAAAATTTTTATGTGACCTTACTCACCCTAAAATTCAATGTTCACCCTAAGAAAGCTGACAAATTTTCAGTATAATCTGCCGAGTAGTCACGGAGGTTATTGGCAACAAACATAAAAAAATAACGGTTTACATCTTCATTGATAATATTCATTTTATTTAGACTGTTAGACACTTTTTCCCAGCTCTAATTGAGCAAATCGAAAAGCTCACTAAGTTTTTCAAGTTTCTTTTCTTCATTAACTTCATCAAGGAAATCGTTATACCAATTAATTAATTTAGATTGTTTTAACCTTTCATTAGAAGACAGCGATTGGAGATACACAGTAAAGACTTTATCAAAATCTTTACTTAAAGCGGTAAATTTTTGCTCCAATTCGCTGTCGAGCTTAATATAACCATTATTATCTAATGCTCTCCTTAATGTTTGTTTCAATTTGGTATTTTCGGCCATACTTTCATAATCTGCCATCATTTCTGCTAAGCTAGCCATGTTCTCAAAAAGTTTCATAACGCTGTCTTCATTGTCGTCCAATTTGAATTCAGCAGCTTGTTTGCCAATTTTCGCCATGCGTGTAATATTCGCCTGCAAAAGCTCATCCTTTTCGGGTATCTCATTCAGTTCCTTAACGGCATTACTGACAACCACACTGCCCTCTTCCAGTAACCATTTGCCAATTTTCGCCACTTCGCTTAGAACGTAAACGCCAAGATGTAGTTTTGGATCGATTCCTTTAGATGTATCAGTGTCCGTTGCACGTTTCACGAGGGGTGAAGTGGTGGCGAGCTTTTCAAGAAAAATTTCAATACTTTATTTGTTTCATGTAGAAATAATGCAATACAACAAACTTACTGGCGCTAAGAGCAAAGCGCTGACAAAAATTAATTCAACTTTATTCATTTTCAACTAAACTGCTTACAAATTGCTCGAGGGAAGGTTAGAATTGTACTGGATCACAGTTGTAATGAAATTGTTATTTATTTAACACTTTCGATTTAATAATAATAATTGATAATTATGAAAGCTCATACATATATATACGCATATAATTAACGTTTTGCAACTACTGAAGCGATTTTCGGCCGAGCTCCTCCTCAATATAGTGGTTTTGCGTCTTGTTGTTTCTCCAACAAATGGAGAGATTTAAAGTTTCTTCTAAGCCAACTCCGAACACCCGATGTATTTTCGTAAACAAGGTTGATTTTTATGACAGCAATACACTCAGAGGGTTTGACATACCCTGCCGAGTGGCTAACCCTATTAGAATAGATTTCCTATAGTTTTGGGCGTTGGTTAGACCAGGACTCGAACAATGGCCACACGGCTATTGCGGCCCACATATGGTAGTTATAAAATCAGTTTCTGAAATCTAAGAAGATAAGAGAGAATAGTATTTTATTATAGAAAGCTTTAAAGAGAAATATTTAGTTATACAATAATAAAATCAAATGAGCTTTAATTATATTTTGGTTTCTTTATTGACTTTTAAATATAAAGTGCCTATAAATTAATGTACAATAATTACAAAAACTTTTTGTTGTCGGAATTTTTTTTTAGAATCTTTTTTGATCTAATAAGCTTATACGGCATTTCCTCCAAATCCCAATTACGTGTTTGGCTCTCTCAATCGTAATACGCACTCCAAATACATGCCGAATTATTTAATTTGCTATACAAATTTTCGTGAGCAAATTACAGTAAAAGTGGGTAATTCGTTCTCATGTGCCATGTGAATTACGACCAAATCGATGCCTTATCTAACTCTTAACAGAATTTTTTCGAAACCAGCTGAAAAATCCAAAAAAAATGAGAGGAGAAACATATTGGATGAGTGCATAAGTTCGTGCCCGATTTCAAGTGCAAACTAAAATTGGAATTTTTTGAAGAAAGCGCTTTTATTAATCAATTATGTATTCGCCATCATGTTCGGCAATCCACTCCCAACGTTCAACCAATTTACGGATGCCTGATTCATAGAAATCGCGCGGTTTCTCGTTGAAAAAGGTGTCAAGCTGGTTTTTGACGTCTTCCAAATTTTTAAATTTTTTTCCATTCAAATTGTTCTGTAGCGATCGAAACAAATGATAATCAGAAGGTGCAATGTCGGGTGAATATGGGGGATGCGGCATGATTTCCCAATTCATCTCCTTCAGTTTGGCCAGGGTCGGTTTTGCAACATGTGGCCTGGCGTTGTCATGATGGAAAAGAACTCCTTTGCGATTGGCCAAAATCGGACGTTTTTCATCAATTGCTTTCTTCAATTCGACCAATTGCTGACAATACTTGTTGGCAGTGATCGTTTCTCCAGCTGGCAAGAGCTCAAAATAGATCACGCCTCGGATATCCCACCAAATGCACAGCAGTACCTTCATCGGATGCAATCCACCTTTCGACATCGGTTCCGCCCCTTCGTGTGCCTGTTTCCATGTTCTTTTGCGTTGAACATTGTTGTACAGGATCCATTTTTCATCACCAGTCACGAGCCGATCCAAAAAAGGTTCGTTTTTGATCCGTCGAAGCAAAGAAATTGCTGTTGACATACGGTCCACTTTGTTTTTTTCACTCAACTGATGTGGCACCCATGTATCGAGCTTCAAAGTGTACCCAACCTTTTTTAAACGACGAAACGCAGTTGATTTGTTGACGTTCAATTCACTGGCAACCTCTTCCGTCGAAATACGTGAGTTATTCGCAACTAAAGTCCTTAGAACATCGTCATCAAGCTCAGAAGGCCGTCCACTGCGAGGTTGATCTTCGAGGTTAAAATCTCCAGAACGAAATTTCGCGAACCATTTCTTTACTGTGCGGAGTGCTGGAGCACGGTCCAAATAAACTTCGCGAATATCTTTAGTTGCAGCGCCTACTGTTTTTCCTTTGCGGAATTCGTATAACATAATATGACGCATATGATCTTTTTCGTTGTCCATCTTCCATGCGTCTTTTCACTAAGCAACTCAAATCAAAATGAAGTTATTTTATGCTTGATTTACAGTTCGGACTGTCACCTTTCCAACGATATATAATATGTATATATTTCTTTCACGAACGCCACTCTCAAACGATTCGAACGGCATCCAGCAGAATCGGGCACGAACTTATGCACTCATCCAATAAAAGAAGACACTAACACACAAACATTGATTTGAAACCAAAAACTATTTGTATATTAAAGAAGAAAAAATTTAGAAATTATTAAGGAAACTGGCATTAAATTACCAATTCAATTCAAGATTTTGTTAACTTCTACTAAAAATCTTTCATTTTCCATACGTTTCCAAATGGAACAAACAAGCGAAACCGAAAACTGTCAAACTGCGTGCCGTGTGAGTGGGGGTAATTCACACTCGTAATTGAGAGAGCGAAATACGTAATTGGCCTGTCGTGGAAATGCCGTATAACATACGTGTATACGGAGGTTGGCTTTATATTTCCGAATTAGAAACAAGATGAAATTTCGATCAAAGTACTCATCGAAAATCGCTTTATTAGTTTTCAAAATATTCTCTATTAAGATCTATACACTTTTGCATGCGTTCGAATTGATTGTCGTAGTACTTTTGCAACTCCAAATCAGACTTCTCGAAAATGGCAGTGTTAGAGATAGAGTTCCACCAATTTTTCCTCATCTTTGTCCCTGTAGCTGCGGCAGAAGTTGTTTAAGAAGCAGCCCATCATTTTACCACGAAACCCAATGCGATTGTAACACCGCTTGGCTATGTCGGGCTTAGAAGGAGTAGATATTTAGTTCTGTTTACCTCAATTAATTGCTAGAATTGTCTTTTCACATTACACGTGCTTTTGCCCTGCCATCTGATGTTGGCTCTTCAGATAAAAGCTAGTCTTAGCATATACCATAAAATTTCCGGAACTAGTCTTTTGAACTGCCCGCCCTGAATATTATTCAACACTTTTTTGTTGATTAATACTTAATTACCATGCAAAAATGAGTGCGATCTGTTAGACCAGCTTGTTTGCAGCAACTGTTGAAATCAGTCGACCTCAGCTCCTTTGCGAATTTTCTGTTACGTCCTCAATCGAGTTGAAACGGATTCCACGGAGTGGTAACTTTAGTTTTGGAAACAAAAAAAGTCGCACGGGAATAGTCCGGTGAATACGGTGGTTGATCGTTGGTATTGAACGATCACAACTACAGCTCAGTGTCATGGCGCATTATCGCCACAATTTCGCCCGTTTGCGCAAACGCCTCAAAACGCTCAAATAATACTATTTATTGATCATCTGGTCTGTTGGAACGACTTCATGATGAGCCAAACCGCGAATATCGAAAAAAATTTCTTGAAACTTTCTGGTCTTAAAGTACATTAAGCGGTATGTTTAAGATTTCTCTGCATTTTATTGCCACACTTGAGGTTTTATGATTAGATTGGAGGGAGCAGCCTGGCTGTCAGTATATTCTAATAGGGTTAACGGATTAGTAATTAGCAACCAGGAAGTGTCTGACAATACAGCAGTTAGTTCTGCTTGTAATACGCTGCAGTGGTAGTGAAATCTTCTACTTAATTTTACAGCAAACGACTAAACTCACAATGATCCAGAATTGCTGCATTTTCATACTCGTTCCTCTCTGAGATTTTCATTGAGAAAGTTTTGTCGAAGCTGAGGACAGAATTAGTGTAGTCTACTACTTCCGAGAGTGAAGTAGAGTTTATTATTACGGCGCGTCCCATGCGGTTTCTCCATGGTTGAATTGCATATAGTCTTATGGCATGGCAGCATATAGTCTTATGGCATGGTAGCTCCTAGAGGTCTACCGGGAGAAGATTAAGTAGAGTTTTAAGAAGTTAATGCCAGTGCACCTGTTAATGGCAGTGCACCTGTTCTGAGTATGGAGGCCGTCCGCTGGACTTATTCCAGCTTGCTACTGTAGGTAGTCTTTTGTAGTGCTGGTCACCAGACAGTGACTCCTTAGAACAATGTGTATAGCATTACCGCTTTGTATAGTCAGTACACAATATGTGGTTTTAGTCTCCATCTTTTGCCGATCGCCGCCTTGCAGACGTATTGTGCGGTTGTTCAGGTTCCAGATGAGTTTGCTATCTAACTTTATGCTTTGGTATATAACCTCAGTAGAAAGAGCGATCTAGGTGCCTTTGAGTAAGGGTAGTTTAAAAGCAGATGGTTTGTACCTTCTAGTGAAGCGTACAATTTCGTTCTGTGAAGGTTTTCCAACCAGACCGCACTCCCTGTACCAGCTACTTACTGTGTGAAGGGCAGTTTGCAGCAGATCGCTTAGAATCTGGAGGTATTTTCCAGTGGCTGTAGGGGCAATGTCGCCAGCGTATGCCACTAAGTCGCAACCCGTATTTATAGCTTTCGAAGCAGTGTGTTGACTGTGAGACACCATAGAACTGATGCTGCTCCTAATTCAGCGAAAATTGTTTTGTATATTAAAAGAGACTTTACGAGATGCACTACCTGCGCCCAGAGACATCATTTTCAAATTTGCCAAATCCCGAAAGACATTCCGCGTATACATGAACACTCATTGGCAAATTCAGCGCTTGTTCTCTGTAGTTCTCTCTCTCTCTCTCCCCCATAGATTGTCAGCAAGTCGACAAGTTCCAGAACCCAAATGTTAACAAATGCCCATTGTGAGCCATCTATGAGTAAATCAAAAGTTTTCGCGTGATATATGAATATATTTTTCAGGAAGGTATAAAAGCCATTGAAGAAGCCATGGACGCCCAGCCTATTAACAACCGATGGAAACGTGCGAAAATGGACGAAGCACAAATAAAGAAGGCGCTGATGATGTTAGCATATCGATTGGATGAGTTGGAAAAAAACTGCCGCGAAAGGACTCAGGAATCATTTAAGGAGAAGCTCGGCCGGAAGCCGTTTCAGCGATTATAAAGCGCCAATAATATATATATATATATATATTATATAATACAAACAACACCTAATTAATTATGAAAGCAACCACTAAGATAATTTAATATTGAAATTATTGATTTTACTTTTCAAAATTTCCGTTTTTGTTTCATAAATTAAGACATAATATCAAAGATTTCGCCAAATTTGTCAACCTTCCGCTCCCCATCGGTTTCTGCCTTGAACTCATCATACCATACAAGGAGTTTAGCTTGCTCCACTCTTTGGGCTGGAGTCAACACCTTCACATATTCACCAAATGCTGTGTCAAAATCATTAGCCATTTCGATGACTTTCTGTTCGAAATCATTTTCGAACTTGGTGTAGCCATTATTTTGCAAGGCCGTCTTCAATGTTTCTTTCAATTTTGAGTCCTCGGGCATATTTTCATAGTCCTCCATCATTGTAGCGAAGTCAACCATGTATACCAGTAATTTTAAGACGGCTCCCTCATCTTCTTTTAAATTGAGTTCAGCATTTTCCTTAACAATGTTCGACATGCGTGTGATATTTGCTTGCAAGAGTTCATCCCTAACTGGTAGTTCCTTTAGCTCCTTTATGGTATTTCTGATCACTACACTACCAGTGTCCAACATCCATTTGGAGAGTTTAGCTATTTGGGCAATGGTATAAATCATCAATTGAGCTTGGGGACTCTCCTCTTCGGATGACACATCTTTGGGGTTAGATTCTAATATTTGATTGTCATTATGTACAACAGCCACTCTCGTAGTAGGCAATGTGTGGGCGAACTGTTGAACAATAAACAAATTTGAATTAAAATATAGTTCAATTTTTATTTTCAGCACAAAAAACTTACTTGCACCAACAGCATTGCGCTGATCGCGAGTAATAAAGCTGACTTCATTTCAAGCTAAGGATATGGAACGTAAGCAATGAACCGACAGTTGAAATTCAAAACTCAATCTAATTTTCTAAGCCTATTGAAATGGCTATTTATATGATTCGTTGTAGCTTCCAAAGTGTAGATTATATGAATACATAAGAAGCGCTTCAAAGATTTCTAAAAGGAACAAGCAAAAATAAATCGACTTAAAAATAATTTTTTTTGTTTTTTTTTTTAAGAGGCAATTAATTTTATTTGCAAGCAATGATATCAGTAAATATTATAAAATAATATATGAAAAACATTAAATAATATTCAATATTATTGATTGTGTAATTCCTATTGCGTGCTCTATCTGATAAGCTTTTTCAGGTATAATCACAGGTAATTGACTCGCTGGCCTTGGAGTGTCCGAAAGAAATGCATTCACTTCTAGAATTCTGTTATCACTTATTACGAGGGGATTAACAAAAGTTCGATCAGTTGGTCAATTTTTTTTTGTTAAATCTAAAAATACCCAATCCTTTGTAATTACTTTATCAGTTTTCCTTTCAAATTTTAGATGCGATCGACTGAAATGCAGACGAGAAAACGCAAGAAAGCTGATTAAGAGCCAGACGAAATTCCACCACAAACGGAAACAGAAATTCGCCAGAACTTCCCTACGGGTTTGGTCGTAATTTACACGACGATTGCACCATCTTTAAAGACTATTTATGAGTGGTTCAGAGGACGAGCGCAGCCACGGGAAGGTCGACCAAAATCTTCTACTGATGACGTAACTTTAGCTCTGGGATTAACGTCACTGTAGCTCTGGTGAAGTTCAAAATTGACAAAGACCCACGATCCAGGCAAGAAATCATTGCTAATGAATTGAACTTAAATGCCATGACAGCATCGTGAACATTAAGTAATCATGTGGGATACACGAAGAAATCTGCTCGATGGGTACCACGAACTTTAAATGAGGCCCAAAAAGAGGCTAAATTTTTCCTAAACAAATTCGAAAATGGTCAGTCTAGCAACTTTACTAAAGTCGTTACTGATGACGAATTGTAGTTGTATATGATGCCAATTTACTTCACCCTAAAACGTAACTGCTATTCCACTGGTTAACGGTCACACGGTAACTGAAAAATAGTACACCGAAGAGTGCTTATCAAAATTTTTAAAAAATTGTTGGAAAACAGAATGAAAGAGGATATGCGGCTCTACTTTTTATACCATGACAACGCTGCATCCCACACTGCTGTAATAACGAGTAGTTTTATTGCGATTTCTGGGATCGAAGAAAAACGTCCAGCAACATATTCCCCTGATGAAGAACCTTGTGATCTCTGGTTCTTTCCAAAAACTCAAAAAAATTTAAAAGGAAAGGTCTATAATAGAGAAATAATGCGGTTAATGCTGAACTTGAAAAGATAGAAAAGCAAGATTTTGAAGACTGCTCTCAGAAATGGATCTGCAGGCTTAAGAAATGCATTAAATCAATGGCGATTATGTAGAAAAGATAAAAAAGGACAGAAATTAGGAATAAATACAAAAAGAACTTTTTTCTTTTTTTCTGGTCAACTTACCGAATTTTGGTTAATACCTCCCTATATTATAATATTCAATTTTTTTTTCTTTTCTTTAAGCTTAGAAATAACGATTTGTTGTCGAAAATATGTAAATATCATAAAATATGAGCTAGAGAAAGAAAACGTTTTCAAAATATAAATTCTGTCAGAAAAATTGCCTTGAATTGGTCAAGAAAACACAGTCGTACCGAGAGATCCAATTTTCGACCACTCTTTGCAGCAATTGGGGTGGTCTGTCAACAATAACGACACGAATATTTTTTTCCAATGCGTCAATCGTCTAGGTCTTTGAAAAATCAAAAAATCGGTATACGCGACATAAACTTGGTATCCCTTCTTCAAAAATGCAATGCAAAATAACGCGTAACAGGCTAGGTTTGTAACAGTAGAATTTTCCAACGATTAATGATTATTTAAGTGAGCGGGCTTTTGAAGTACAACATAAGAATAAAGCCCATCCAAGTCGCTATTTAAGGACAATTTCAAAGCAGCAAAACATCTAATTTTGTTACTGACAATCTACTGGCATATAAAAAGTCTACTAAATTCCTGATCATTACATTCCTGAACATTCCTACCAAAATTATATTTGAAAAATTGAGCAACGAAATTTGCAGTATCCATTGCGCTTTCTGAACTTCTCTCACAGTAGGACATGCAAGAGGAAAAACATTTCTTAGAGCGAATATATTTCCGAAAGGCTCTTGGATTCGTTTTTAACTCCTCATCCTCTAATCAATAAATATATTGAGTGTATAGAAATTTCATTTTAAAATTATTCATTTTTAGAATAAATATATTTCGACTCAACCATGATACAATAATTTAAAGGTAGTTTCATTCTCTCCTCGCTGTCGGTGGCTTTTTCGTGCTACTGTCTTGTCTTAAAAAAAATCTATGAGGAAAATTTGGACTTCATCGAGTGTATGCCTTTCAGGATATTTGTATAACATCTTTAGTAAATTGTAGGAAAGTATTAGAAAGGGAGAGGATTCGCTATCGAAATTTAAATCGAATTCAAGAAGATGAGGAGCTCGCTTGATTTGATATACTCGTACAAGGTGCGTGCCAAAGTAAATGGGACTTAAAAAAAAAGACAGAACAAATGGTTTTATCGTCAAAATTAATTAATTCTATTCAAAATAGTCTCCTTCTGCTTTAATGCAACTTTTTGCACGGTCCAAAAGCGGTTTGTCGACTGAGTGTTTTAGCTTGTTGCCCGGTATGGCCGCCAGTATGCCGGTGCAAGCCTTTTGAATAGCCTACACGTCTTCATAATCCTTTCCTTTCATCGACAAATGCATTTTTCCGAAAAGGTAGAACAAGCACGGTGCCAAATCAGGTGAACACGGGGAGTGGTTGATTGTTAAAATGTGATTTTTGGTCTTTTTTTTGCCTCTTTAATGATGTCCTTCGAATGTTGAATTCTGAGCAATTTTTGGTCGTCAATCAATTGGTACGGACACCTTTTGTAAGCAAAATATTCGGTCAAAATGTGATACATCGATGTGTTGGAAATGTTCAATTCTATTTCCATGAATTTCAATAACTTCTAATTAATTTTAAATTTTTATGAATTCACGCACAGTTTCAATGGAATTTTCAGTGATCACGGATTTTGGTTGGCCCACGTGCTCATCGTCATTTATGTCCTCACGACCACTTTGAAAACGTTGAAGCCACACGTGCACTCTGCTACGGGATAGATAATCATCGCCATTAAATTGTTTCATCAATTGACACGTTTCGGTAAAAGTTTTATCTATTTTGAAACAAAATTTAATGTTGGCTCTTTGTTAGAAGCTCATTTTCGCACCGATGACAAAAACAAACTGACACTTAAAACGCAATAACTTCACTTCCAATATATGAAATGTCAATGAAATTTTTACTAGAAGTCGATTAAGGATAGCAAATTCTAATGCACTAGTCGACATATAGATGGCGCCACTAGTGGGCGCTAGATTCAAAAAGTCCTGTTTACTTTGGAACGCACCTTGTATTAAAGTTTGAATTCAAATTAGGCTCACATTTTTAAATGTGTTTCAAAGAAATTTTGTAAGCGAACAGGATATTGTTTTAATAATTGTTGATATTTTAAACCAGTGCAATGTCATAATATAATCTTATAATCTTGATGATAAATATGTTGGTGAAGAAGATTCTCTCACCGTTCCAGATGCTCAAACCACTTGATTTAATAATGCCTAGCCATGCAGGCTATGCTAAGCAATCGAAGGAAAATTTTGGGTGAAATCATCCCCACAGTTCCCTGCGCGGCCCTAAGACCATTGCCCCAAACCACGGACTTTTGGCACATAGTTGAGAAAATCTAAAAGCCTAAGATTCGTAAAAAAAATAAAATGTCAATTATTCCCACTTGATTTATCTATCTAGCAAATCTTTTTTTTACTTTTGCCGCCTATGAAAAACGGTTTCAAACCAATATTTTAATAGATTCATGCGAGTATTCTGCTTACAAATTAACCCCAAAGATAATTAGAAAAATCCTGCAAGTTGAAAGTTTTTTGAGTGGCAAGTTCAATAATGATTGAGCAAACACATTTAGTGTCGATAATTTTGATTTTTTGTAACATGGACATACAAAAACAACATAAATACAATTGAAATTTAATATATTTCCCTTTATTAAGTTTTGAATTTTACAAGACCACATAAGCACAATTACTCAATTGCGGTAGGTGTTCCCAATAATACATTGCTATAATTACTTTCCTATTTGCCATGCCATCGTTGCTCATTAATAAAGTCACATTTAAGTACAAAGGTACAAATACATATACGCAATTCGAGGAAACCATGCATCATAGCCAAAGTGAGTGCGATTGCATTATTGAGCTCATTTTCTCATTTCATTTGACAAATTTATTTACATTTTACAGTTAAACATATGTATTTGCTGTTTAGAACAGTTACTGGCACTTCCGTTCATTAATTCTCGCAATTGCTTATAGAGATATGTACGAGTACATATTTATATCTAACGGTAGTTACACTTGGTGACATGCAGAGTAGGACTGTAATGAAATTTCGAACGAATATACGGAACTTTCGATTCATTTTACACCTCCAAATCAGATTTTTTGTACAGAAAAAATTAATTTAAAGTCTTTCATTTTGGCTGCAATGACTTTTGTTGTAAATCTAAAAACAAATGTTGTTCACACAGACACTCAATTAACTAATTTAAAGACTTTCCGTAATAAAACTTGAATTAAACAGAAATCAAATTGATATTTGGTAAAATGTAGCTGCTTATTAAATGGGTTCCGGGAATATTTCTTGGAAGTAAAAGTGTTTGAGACTTTAATTGGGGCGACAAGCTACCTCTATACCATGTAAATCGAATCATAAACACGATTTTTCAAAAAGTTCGTCGCCAAAATCAAACTTCCTGAAAGAAAGAGTATTCGCCAGTTCAATTTAGGCTCAAAGCTACTTTTGTATTAACAAAATTTTGTAAAATCAAACTATTAATACAAATTTTTCTAATACTCGTAGATCGGTC